TTTGTCACATTCAATTATTCGCATTATGTCTTCTATTTTGGTAAAAATAATTCAAAAATAAAAAATAATGTAGGATCAGGAAAGTAATAACAGATATGATTATTATTTAAATGAACATTATTTTGCAACTTAACATAAACAAATTAAACTGAACGTTTCACGTGACGGTAAGCGAAGATAGTCGTTTTACATCATTCATTGTAAGTACCTGACGGACAGTATGAACTTCTGCACGTACCGTTTGGGTTGTGTAATTCACCTGCTGTCTTTATGAAATTTATTCACGCGGTTTTTAGAGAACTCATCAATAGACGAATTGTGTTAGTGTACGTGGACGATTTGATTGTACCGACGGGTGATGTTATAAGCGGAATTCGGAATCTCGGAACGGTATTAATGGTGGCGAGGAACGCCGGATTAGAAATTAATTGGAAAAAGTGTAAAATATTACAAACAAAAGTTGAATTTCTCGGTCACATTGTTGAAAATGGCAGTGTCCGGCCGTCTGAAAGTAAATTAGTTGCCGTTCTAAGATTCCCGAAGCCGACAAGCGTCAAGCAAGTGCAAAGCTTTCTAGGTTTAACCGGGTATTTCCGCAAGTTTATACAGGGATATTTATTAAACGCAAGGCCGTTGACGAATTTGCTGCGGATGCACGTAAAATTTAAATTCGGTTCCGAGGAAACAGAAGCATTCGAGGAGCTAAAGGCCAGTTTATGTAGACATTCTGTGCTTAAATTATATAAAGCAGGAGCGCAAACCGAATTGCATACCGATGCGTCAATGTTCGGTTTTGGAGTAGTTTTGTTACAGCGTAGCGACGACGACGGGGAGATACATCCGGTGCATTTTGCGAGCGGGAAAACAACGCAAGCGGAGGCGAAATACTCGAGTTATGAACTGGAAGTCCTTGCGGTTGTACGGTCGCTCAAAAAGTTCCGAGTTTATCTGTTAGGGATTCGTTTTAAGATCATAACAGACTGTAAAGCATTTTCGTTAACAATGAGTAAACGTGATTTGTGTATGCGTGTGGCGCGATGGGCGTTATCATTGGAAGAGTTTGGCTATGTTATCGAGCATCGGTCCGGCAACCGAATGGCACACGTCGATGCACTGAGCAGGCACCCTTTGCCAGCATGCCTAATCATTAGTGAGGACGAGAGGGGTATGACGGAAAGAATATGCCATAAAATATCATTTCTCAAGGGAACAGATTGAGAAAAGAGTAATTAAACTGAAATACATTCCCACAGGTAGTCAGCGGGCAGATGTAATGACCAAGCCGCTACCAGGAGTCAAATTCCTGGAATTTAGAACAGTAATGGGATTAGAATAATATAATAAATTACTCTTGTAAATATGTAAATATGTATAAATGTATTATATTTCAGTATAATGGTTTGATTAGGTTTTTCTGGGTTTCCCCAATCCTCAGCAACAAATGTGGAACCATATGTATTTGCCCCAGAAAAAGCACATGGAAGGTATATCGTTAGTTTAGCGCAGTCGATTAATTTTTGAGAAGGCGTGTTGATTTTTCTCTTCTGAAAGAGAAAATTTTCTTTATGTGACAAAAACCATCGATGCGTGTGTTGCGAGTCAAGAGGGTGCACCTGTGCCCCATCCTTGGCTTGTTTACACAAAGTATAGTACCGATTGGGTCTGAAGGTACGGAACGAATTTTTCGTCACTGACCTTCTCATTATGTATGTTTTTTTCGAACTATGCAGACGTACCTTCCAAGTGTTTTAATAAAGCTTAGTAGTTAAAAGTTATATTGCCCTAATTGTTTTTTTTATTCCACCAGCTATTTCCAATAATATGTAACATTTAAAAGATTTTTTTATAAATAACGCCTATGTATCGGAACAACTATAAAACAAGAGGTATAATCGTTATTATCTATGGGCTGATTATAATCAAAGTCTAACCGGACTTTGAAATCAGAACATATAACTTAAATGTAAAGTTTCATTTAAATTCATTCAGCTATTTATACTCCATCCTATTAATAATATATTATATACATTGTGTAAAATAAGTCCCCGTAATTTCTCACTTTCACATCCCACAGTACATACAGGGTGTTCGGCCACTCCTGGGAAAAATTTTAATGGGGTATTCTAAAGGCTAAAATACGACGCAAATCAAGAATACCAATTTGTTGATGGAAGCTACGTTAAAAAGTTATTAACGTTTAAAGTTCCACCCGTACTGAATTTTTTTCTCGAAAATGCGCAGGATTTCGGGGGTGTATTTATTCACCAAAAATGTTTGCAATTGACCCCTGCAACCGAAAATAATTTTTTTAGAACGATTTAAAATTTTGGAATTTAATTGTTAATAACTTTTTATCGAAGCCTTCATCAACAAATTGGTATTCGTGATTTTCGTCTTATTTTGGCCTCTAGAATCCCTCATTAAAATTTTTCCCAGAGGTGGCCGAACACCCTGCATAAGTGGGCATAAGTAAAAACGTAAGTGCCGGAAGAAGAAACAACAAAAGTGAGGTTATGTGCATGGATACCACGTGGTTATAAATTCAAGTTACAAGTAAAAGGCAAAAAGGAAACGAAAATGGCATTGTATTCGCAATCAGTAGATCGGATCGACAAGTTAAATGGAAGCAACTACCGATCGTGGAAATTTAATATTAAGATGATGTTAGTCCAACGAGAATTGTGGACAAACGTGACCAAAGAAGCAGTAAAACCGACAGGTGACGATGTAGCAGCATAGGGAAGTTACAACTGGAAGGAAGAAAAGGCACTAGCTACAATTGCTCTGAGTGTTGAGCATGACCAGCAAGTGCATATCATCGACTGTGAGAATGCATCCGGTGCATGAGAGACGTTGATAAAGGTATTCTAATCCAAGTCACGAGTAGGAATTTTACAATTAAGAAAACAAAAAGTATTAATACGCCTTGAATCTAACAAATCTATGACCTTGTACCTTTCAAGAATAAAAACATGTTGCAATAACTTGAAAGAAGCTGGCTATGAAACAAGGGATGAAGATTTAGCGTACACTTCTCTCCATTCTTCAAATCTTGATGTCGTGATTTCCTCGACTAGACATGGATTATATTTGTAAAACAGATATTCAGTGTTTAAATCTCATCGTTGGACTTTTGAATCGTACGCATAGTCATAGTGTTAATAATTTAGGTGTTACTCGACCACCTTTAGTTTTAGTTCTTTTGTTTATTATATTGTATATCCTCTGTGTATCTCTCTATCTAAGGCACTTGCGGAATGCTACCTTCCGTCCCAGCTCGATGGTTTGTTAACGGCGTCACCTATACGTATAAATACGTTGATGGTGGTTGGAAGGCAGTTGCGGTTCAGGCAGCAGAAGATGCTACTAGCAAGGTGGTGAATTTTACCGGAAGGATGGCTGCTTCTCGTAGAGGAAGGAAAGTTTCACGCCTACGTCGTCCTCGCCGTGCTCGCCGTAGCCGTATGGGCATGTCGGCTTTTATATCTGTGACTCTTCCCGTTCGCCGTGTGATAACATTTTTTAAGGCTGATGGAACTACCCATAGATGGAAATACACAGTGACACTTTCGGACTTAGTTCATGCGTTTGATTTGACTTATGATAAATTTAAAGTCACCCGGTACGATATCATCCTGCTAATTCAGTGAGTGTTACCGACTTACATGCATTTGTGTTCCTTGATAGGTTTTGATTCATGGGGTAGTGGTACTGGTGCGTCATGGTTTCCAACTATGGTTTGGTATTGGTGCGATGCCTGGTGCTAAGATTCGCCCTCGGCATGCACCTATTGTACAGCACTGGCGACCTACTGAACCTTCAGCGCGCGAGTGGGTCCGCGGTACATCTGGTACCAAGCTTACGGTGATAGCCACTGCTTATATTTATAGTGATGTTACCGAAGATGTTGAACTCGGTGGTGTGTTTGAACTAATTGCAACGGTTAAAGCTCGTGGACTTTATTATAACGCTCTTGTTGCAACAGCCTTGAGTTCTCAGCATCATATGGACCTCGATCATAGCTCTGCTGCTGGTACAGATGGCGACTTTACAGTTATGTAGTACTGCATGTCGTGAAGAGAAGGCGATGGGCGCTAACTTTGGTTTTACATTAGTTATGTGAGCCAACTTGCTGTTTTAGTCATCTTGACGAGAAGTAAGTAACTAGGTGGCTTCGGCGGCTAAGTTACATGGAGAAATGGTGGCTTCGGCGGCTAGTCTCCCTCTGTACGGTTACTTGTGGACATCATTATGACTGAGATAGCCTCTAGCTAAATAAGAAAATGCCCATGCTAGAGTAGTGCCCACCCTGGGCTACCACGCACCCGTTTGGTTGTCCAAGTGGCAGCGGAGAAGCCCCTGGGATGGGACGCGGGGATGGGATTGTAGCGACTTCGTCGCCACTACGCCTCCGCCGAAAAACGGTAATTTTTAGTTTCTTTTGTAAGTGCTTGTACGGGCCCGGTCAGGGTCGATGGGCGCACATGGCGACCACCGGTGCAAGCCTGGGTTTTTCCAGCGGCCAGGAAACTCATCGACGCTGGCCACGCGGCCGAAACATTTTGCCCGCCGAATTCGGCGTCGTTTTTGTGAGAGTCGGAGATACGCGCTGTCCTTTTCCTAGACCGGGTATAAAACCCCGGTAGGACAGAGGGCACGAGACAGTCCGTACTTGAAAACATCATCGCGTGCTTCGCACCTCACCTACGCGGTTCCCTATCTCACGTTTTGTTGTACACAATCAGAATAAAACACTTGTACTCCCGCAATCAAAAAGTGGGTGAATTGAGTTCATCATTACAATCCTTTCCTGTACCGATCCCCCCACAAACTGGTGACCCCGACGTGATTGTCGACGCGGGAGTGAACATTTTTGGTGCGAGGTGAAAATTTTTAACGTGACAATATTAGTGACTTTTTCCAGTGACACTCGAGCGTGCCGGTGCTAGTGTAAGTTTAATATTAGTGGCTTTTAGAAACAATTACATTAGCGCGAGAAAATGCCGACGAGCAACGAAAGTGCGGGTCCGTCGATGGTGGCTACGTCCACAGCCGCGCTCGAACGAATCAGTTTCTGTGTGCCGGATTTTACCGCGGACGATCCAGAATTATGGTTCTGCGTTGTGGAACGCAATTTCGCGGCAGGAGGCGTGACGTCGGACGGCATTAAGACCAGCTACGTGACAGGTGCGCTAGGTCCGCGATATATCGCCGAAGTTCGCGATATACTCCTGAATCCACCGCCTACCGGCCTATACGATACGTTAAAGAAGGAGCTGATCCGCCGGCTAAGCGTATCCCAGGAGCAGAAGGCGAGACGGCTCCTGGAGCACGAGGAAATCGGTGACCGCAAGCCGTCACAATTTCTACGACACCTGCGTGGCCTCGCGGGCACATCTGTGTCCGAATTGCTGCTGCGGACTCTTTGGCTGGGCCGTTTACCGGCAAACGTGCAGGCTATTCTGGCGACGCAGAAAGACACGGCGCTGGACAAGGTCGCGGAATTGGCCGACGCGGTCACAGACACCATGTCTGGACGTCCCGTCGTAGCCGAAACCACGTTTGCAAGCACGCCAGCACAACCAGCCACGGTGGACGCCGTAACGGAGCGAATGATGCAACTACTATCACGTTGCAAAGCCAGACCGAGGTAATGCAGGGCCAAATCGCGGAATTACGCGCCTCGCGGAGGGACCATCGACCCTTCCGCCGCTTCGACCGGAGACGCAGCGCTTCGAGGCGCCGGTTTAATTCACGGGACCGATCGCCAACGGCCAGCGGGGTGTGCTGGTACCACGCCAGGTATGGAGCCAGGGCGCATCGTTGTGCCTCGCCCTGTACGTACACCATGCCGGCGGAAAACAATTAGGGCAATCGCTGATGGCGGCTAGCGACTCCAGCCCGACGTTTCGCCGTCTTTTCGTCCTTGATCGGAGCTCGGGTACGCAATTTCTGGTCGACACTGGAGCCGACCTCTGTGTATTCCCGAGAAGATCAATCCGCGGACCATGTGCAAGCTCCGACTACGAGCTTTCCGCGGCGAATGGCACCCCGATCGCGACATACGGCACCAAGACAATGACTTTAAATTTGGGTCTCCGTCGTGACTTCACGTGGAGGTTCATCATTGCCGAGGTCTCCAGGCCGATCATCGGAGCGGATTTCCTCGCCCATTTCGGGCTCCTGGTCGACGTGCGGAATCAGCGGCTGATCGACCAGACAACGACATTGACAACGAGAGGCGCACCGGTTCGGGAGAACATCCCCAGCATTAAGCAGGTACAAGGGGAGTCTATTTTTCACAAACTGCTGCAACGCTTCCCGGACATCACTAAGCCGAGCGGAAGGCCGACCGAGATCAACCACGGTACATATCACTATATAAGAACTACCCCAGGACCATCCGAAGCTAGCAAACCACGGCGGCTTGCACCGGATCGATTGACCATCGCGAAAAAGGAGTTCGAAGACATGGTACGTCTGGGTATTGCGCGACCGGCCGACGGTAGTTGGTCTTCACCCCTTCACTTAGTCCCAAAAAAGGGGGGCAATGCGTGGAGACCGTGCGGAGATTACCGTGCGCTTAACGCGCGCACGATTCCGGACCGGTATCCGGTTAGACACATTGAAGATTTCGCTCAATCATTACGCGGAAAAACAATTTTTTCTACCATAGACCTAGTCCGCGCATATAACCAAATTCCGGTGGCAGTAGAGGACATCCCGAAAACGGCAATAACGACTCCCTTCGGGTTATTCGAATTTCCATTCATGACCTTCTGCCTCCGTAACGCGGCTCAGACCTTCCAGAGGTTCATTGACGAGGTATTGCGAGGGCTAGATTTTTGTTATGCCTACATCGATGATATTTTAGTTGCATCCAATTCAGAATCAGAGCATTTACACCATTTAGAGATATTATTTAATCGCTTTAAGCAGTATAGTGTAGTAGTAAATTCGAGGAAATGCGTTTTTGGGGAAAGCGAGATTAAATTCCTCGGGTACATAGTATCGAAGGAAGGCTCTAGCCCGTGTACGGAGAAAATTAAAATAATTAAAGATTTTCCCGAACCGGTAACCGCGAAACAGTTACGCCGCTTCCTGGGTATGGTAAACTTCTACCGACGTTTCATACCCAGGGCGGCCCAGGCCCAGGCACCATTGGATGACCTCCTGGTCAATAACATAAAAGGGAAGCAACTGATTGCATGGACACCTGAGGCCCGCGACGCGTTTCGCCAGTGTAAAGAAGACCTGTCGCAGGCAACTTTATTAACGCACCCCAAACAGAACGCACCCGTCGCTCTTACCTGCGACGCCTCGAATTTTATGGTCGGAGCCGCCCTGCATCAACGCATCGGTAGTGACTGGGAGCCACTTTCTTTCTTTTCAGCAAAACTTTCACCGTCAGAGCAAAATTATTCCGCATTCGACAGAGAATTATTAGCTATATATCGGTCGATAAAGCATTTCCGCCACCTTCTCGAAGGCAGACATTTTATAGTGTTCACAGACCATAAACCTTTAATTTTTGCATTCTCTAGTAATTCCGATAAGCATTCACCAAAACAAATCAGATACATAACTTTCATCAGCAAATTTACGACCGATATACAACACATTTCCGGCCGCGAGAACGTTGTCGCGGATGCTCTGTCACGAATAGAGACTATAGAAAAAAAATTAGATTTCGAAGCTCTGGCAACGGCACAGTCGCTCGATCCCGAATTACGAGCTTTGATGCAGGGTGAATCAGGCCTGACATTTAAACAGATGTCTGTTCCCGGTTCGAGCGCGAAAATTTATTGCGACGTTTCAACAAACTCCGTGCGACCCTTCCTCACAGCCCCTTTTAGACGGGCTGCGTTCGACGCACTGCATGGGCTCGCGCACCCAGGTATTAACGCGACGGTCAAATGCGTAACACAGCGTTACGTTTGGCCGTCAATAAAAGCCGATTGTCGTGAGTGGACCCGCGCGTGTATTCCATGTCAGCGGAATAAGATAAACAAGCATGTATCCGCGCCGCTCGGATCGTTTCCTCGCCCGTCAGAACGTTTCGAGCACGTTCATCTGGACATTGTCGTTTTACCGGTTTCCGAAGGGTACCGTTATTGTCTAACGTGCGTAGACCGTTTTACACGATGGCCTGAGGCCATACCCTTGCGCGACCAAGAAGCCGCTACCGTCTCAAGGGCCTTTTACGAAGGCTGGATTTGCCGTTTCGGAGTCCCCGTACGCGTGACCACGGACCAAGGGCGACAATTCGAATCGTACCTATTTAAGGAATTAAATTCCTTGATAGGTTCGACTCACTTACACACCACGGCGTACCATCCAGCAGCCAATGGCATGGTGGAACGATTCCACCGCCAAATGAAGGCAGCGATCCGATGCCACCAAAACAATCGATGGACAGAGGTGCTTCCGACCATCCTGTTGGGCATACGCGCAGCATGGAAGGAAGATTTAAAAACAACGTCCGGAGATTTAGTTTACGGCGAGCCTTTACGCCTGCCAGGCGAATTTTTGTCGCCGTCACCGAATAGTCGCGGCACCACCGTGTTTGCTAAAGAGTTGCGACGCCATTTCCAAAATATCGGACCGACTGCAGGATCGCGACATGGCAACTCGCGAATTTTCGTATACAAAGACTTAGCTCAGTGTACACACGTTTTTCTGCGGCGAGACTCAGCGAAAGCCATGTTACAGGCTCCGTACGATGGCCTATACGAGGTCGTAGGTAGATCAGATAAGGTCGTAACAATTAAGATAGGTAGTAAGAATAGCGTAGTTTCTATCAATAGACTTAAGCCAGCATACACGATGGAGGAAGAAATTGCGACACCACCGGACCAGCCACAGGTAATACCCGTGCGGGTCCCGACGCCTCCCAGGACCGAGACAGCACCGCGCGCAGCACAAAGTCCGGTAACAATCATACAACCTTCGCTGCTACCTGTGCCAGTGCCTAGCGTAGCACCTGGTACCACGCGGTCCGGTAGGCGAGTCCGATTCCCAGACAGATATCAAGCGGGATTCTCGTAGTGTAGGTTAAATACTAGCGGGGTGATGTAGCGACTTCGTCGCCACTACGTCTCCGCCGAAAAACGGTAATTTTTAGTTTCTTTTGTAAGTGCTTGTACGGGCCCGGTCAGGGTCGATGGGCGCACATGGCGACCACCGGTGCAAGCCTGGGTTTTTCCAGCGGCCAGGAAACTCATCGACGCTGGCCACGCGGCCGAAACATTTTGCCCGCCAAATTCGGCGTCGTTTTTGTGAGAGTCGGAGATACGCGCTGTCCTTTTCCTAGACCGGGTATAAAACCCCGGTAGGACAGAGGGCACGAGACAGTCCGTACTTGAAAACATCATCGCGTGCTTCGCACCTCACCTACGCGGTTCCCTATCTCACGTTTTGTTGTACACAATCAGAATAAAACACTTGTACTCCCGCAATCAAAAAGTGGGTGAATTGAGTTCATCATTACAATCCTTTCCTGTACCGATCCCCCCACAGGATCATTAACCTGAGAGGGCTGGTGACCGCATCCTCGCATGGCATCTCGGAGATTGGAGCGATAGCTCCCGCGGATCAAACACTGGTATGAATGTGTTGTGTGTGTGAATGAGCTGCGGTCGGTGACTCGCGGATATTCCCGTCCCGACCCCTCCGGGGTTGGTGAGTACCTGACCTCTGCGAGAGTAATATGGGTAAACTTCGGTGATCCTGTGAAACCGCATGTTAAACGTGGAAGAACCGCTCACTCACCAATTGACTGGAGCTTATGGCGGGGTTGAAGCGAACTCACCGAGCGCGGGTGTGGAGTATTATCCGGTCAATATTTTCTCGTACCCGGAGCGCCGTAGGGTAAATCGGCGCACCGTCTAGCCTAAGGTTTGAGTTTGGCATCGATTCGGATCCGGCATCGCTCATTCAATAGGGGTAACGTAAAACCTTTAGCATCTATTATGGCACGGGCCTATCCCGTAACATTTTTCTGTAAAGTCAATTTGGTGTCGATAGGGTTGACCACCCGACAAGTTGCTTCTCAGCTTCGGCATCTTTAAATAGGATTTTCTATACCCGGGGATAGTACCGGTGGGGGTTCCATGATGGGCGAACCGGAGGACATAAACCACTTTACATATGGCGTCATTAACCCTTTGCGGACGGCTATCTGCGGACAGCAGCCCTTACATTTTTACCGTTCTGGACGCGTGTCTGCGGACAGCAGCCCAAGCATTCTTATCGTTCGGGACTCGTGTCTGCGGACAGCAACCCAAGGAAATAGGATCTACCTTATATTTAGAACGAGGACATTTGTTTTTAGTATACTGCCGTATATTCTATGCTCTCGATTGGTTTCTTTTTGTGCCTTATCGTTCCTTAATCTTAAATGCTGGATTCGTGCATGAGGACAACAGTCTTGTACGAATCTTTCAAACGAGCACATCTCTTGTATTACAGTTCTGATTTCCATATAAAGTTAATTATATTTATATATTATTATTTGGGCTATTATATATGAAAATTACCCTACTATAACATTATGTCTAAAAGAAGCAGGAAGGATGTTACATTTTGTGACATCAGCAGCAGTGATGATGAGTTTTATGTTGAGTCAAGTGACAGTGACGAAGTTATGGAAAAT